CCCTCTTCTCCCCTACCCCTTTCTTTCCCTTTGCTTCTTTCTTTCTTTCTCTTTGGGGTTTCTGTTTTATCAAGTCGATTTTAGGTTTCTGGGTCTTCAAGTCAAGACTCAAAACTAAACAGAGCTTAAGGTTGCTTTAAAATAGAAAGTAAATCTTCTGGCTGGGGGGTAGGGAGTACGAAGAGCCTAGGGGTCAACAGCAGAGGTGGGGAGGACAGTGGAGGGGACCGGGTTCCCTTCCTGCCAGTGAAACATCCTCTCTGGGCGCCACTGTGGGGCTTGGAAAAAGCCTCTTCTTCCACCCAAATGAATTTGAAAATGTAGAAGCTGCGGTTGGAACCCCACTCTGCCTGTGACTCCATTGCCTAGAGACAAGTCTTTATGTAGGCAGGGGTTTATTTGTCGTCTCCCCCTGACTCAATCAACCAACCACATCTGCCTCCCAGCCCTGGCTCAATGTGTTCAACTGTTTCTGCCTCAGGGCCTTTGCATTTACTGCTCTTGTTGCCTGGGTCATTGCCCTGGGATTAGCCTTTCATCTAGCATCACTTTATGGGAGGCCCCTCCCAGGTTATGGTTGTTGCATAGCCATTGTTGTTGTTGTTAAGTGCTGTCGAGTCGGTTCCGACCCATAGCGACCCTGTACAGGGTTTCCGAGGGTGTAAATCTTTACGGGAGTAGAAAGCCTCATCTTTCTCCCGCGGAGCGGCTGGTAGTTTCGAACCGCTGACCTTTCAGTTCACAGTCCAATGCGTAACCACTACTCTACCAGAGCTCCATTAGTCAGCTCCAATCTACAGCACAAATTACTGCTTGATTCTGCACCATCTTCCTAACTGTTGGCATGCTCTAGACCACTGTTGCAGCCACTGTGTATTTGGAATGCCTCCAACCTAGAAGGCTCACTTCCAGCACTAATACAATTGGGGTCTTTAGGATTTTCACTGACTGTACATCACTCTTTCTTCATCTGTCTTGGTCTGGAAGTCTTGCTGAAATCCCTCCACCAGGGGCACCCTGTTGGTATTTGAAATACTGGTGGCTTAGTTGACTCTGTAGGATAAGCACTGGACTCGAACCACAATGAAGGCAGTTTGAGTCCACCAGCCGCTCTCAGGAGAAAGAGGCGGCTTTCTGCTCCCATAAACACTGATAGTCTTGGAAACCCTATCCAGGGTCACTATCATGTCAGAACAAAATTGACACTTAACAACACACACTTCCAGAAAAGGTGCTCTGGTGTTGCAACAGTTAAGCACTCAGCTGTTATCTGAAATGTTGGTGCTTCAAACCCACCCAAAAGCTCCATGGGAGAAAGAGTAATCTGCTCCAGAAAAGATGACGGTTTAGAAAGCCCTATGAGAACAGTTCTAATCTACTACAAGGCGTTGTAATGGAATTCAATAGCACCTACCAACCATTTAACAGCCTCACCGCAACACAAAAGCCACCACCATAGGCAACTGAGAGATGGGAGGTGGCTTCCCAGATTGTTAAGTGCCCTGGTAGAGTCGGTTCCGACCCACAGCGATCCTGTATAGGGTTTCCCAGGAGCAGCTGGTGAGCTTGAACCACTGACCTTGCAGTTCAAAATGCTTTGCAGTCTGGCACATTAACCCACAGTGCCACACCAGGACTTCCCAAATTACCGACTCAAAATCTCCCTCTTTATCTCCATAGGGTGGGAGGACACTATTCGTTCCCTTTGAAGCCAGGCTTGTCTGGCTTCCTCTTCAAACTGGGTCCTAAAGGTGGGGGATGTCCAGTGTACCCCAGCTTTCAAATCACAGTATATGCTCAAAGTATGGTAAGGGAATAAATGAGAATGATCATGAGTTCATTGCATGGGATTTAGGCACCCACCCCTTGCCCCAACCTGGGGATCTCCCATCTAGGGGGACAGAACTGGACAAAGCTGCTCCCAACTCTGTGGGGTCAGGGCTGGGCCAGATGGAGGGGCGGGGCTGAGTGGCTGGGAGGGCTCCCTGGCTGGGAGGAAGAATTTTCCACTTCAGAAGGAGGGGGTGGGGAAGAACATCAGGGGCAGAGGGTACAGCATGTGCACAGACAAAGGACCTTGGGGGGTAGGGGGAGGCAAAGGCTGCCAAGAGCAGGTCCCCTGTACTTCGTGGCCAGAATAGGTCCTCCCCACCCAGCCCTGAGGATCCCCCACACCCTGGTCTGGAGGAAAATGAGCCAAACACAAGCAGGGAGAGGTGATAGAGGCTTTAGAGTGAATCTAGGAGCCCTGGAAGGCTGTGGTTAGGGACAGCTTTTTGAAGGAAGGGACAGTGGAAGTGGGTGTGAAGGGATGAATCGTTTTCCAGAAGGAAGGCTACTCCAGGTGGCAGAAACTCCAGACCAAAAACTGCACTTACATCAAATAAAAACAAAGAAAACAATAATAGAAAACGTTTATTGAGCCCTTACAACTTTTTTCAAATTCCCCAAACAATAATCACAGTACTTCATTTTCAGAATTAAAAGGAGGCCCAGAGAGCATGAAATGACTGGCTCCTAGTCATACAGCCAGGCAATGGCAGAGCCTTCTGACTAGGTGGTCTTAGGCATCTATCTGGGCCTCAGAGTGCCTCAGTTTCCAGGGTCTGCTGGCCCTTCAACCATTCAGCTCAAGCTGGTTCCTTCCAAGTCTGCCTCCATCTGTCAAAGCTTAGGTCAAAAGTCAGGGCAGGGCCTTTGGGAACTCAGCCTTAGTCTTGGCCTGCCTGCCTGCTCACCCTCCCATCTCTGTGTTAGGGAGAAACTTGACCTAATGCCACCAATCCAATTCACAGCATGTGGGTATGCTGAGGTCCACAGACAGTCCCAGGGTAGGGCTGGCTGTAGAATGGGAGCCAAATCTCCCCCCACCGAGGTCCCTTTGCCCAGGTTGGGACTCAACTCCAAGAGCACTCAGACCTAGACACACAACAGCACAAAAATCTACAGATATTTCTCATCTTGACAAGCATATGGTCCCCCATGGCATACAAACCCAACACATGGACAGACACATACAAACATACCACCCACACAGCATCAAGAACTAGACACCCCTCATGTGGACATGCACAAGGACCCACAGGGTACGCAGATCCCACACACTGATATACACTCCCAGACACATGCGCACACAGACATCCCTCAAATGCGCACACAGGTACGGAAACCACACATGGACATATACAGGCACACAAGAGTTACACACACACACTCAGACACACAAACAAGGCCCCTGATTGGAGACAAACCAACCCACATCTCCAGCCCTTGTGAGAGACATCCCAGGTTTTCAGGCCTCCTTGCCAATGATGCCTGCTTGTCCTTGGCCTGATCTTGCTTCAGAGCTGAAGTGGGGGTAGGGTGGATTGGGCAGAGGAGCATGAGGAGGGGTCACCCAAGGGCCAAATAACCTGAGGCCAGAGATAGTGCTCCAACCTAGTGGGGCTGTGTTTCAGCTCCACATGTTTACTGAGCACTTTGCTGTGTGCCAGGGACCCCACAGGTCCAAGGTAGATGAGGTCCCTGTCCTCTGGGGGCTTTTGATGCACCCCTTAATTTCTGCTGTTATTCAGGAGTAATGTCTACAGGAATAATGTCAGGGATTTCCCTGATATGAGGACACACACATATATACACACACTCTCTCCTTTGTACTGGATGAGAGCTCAGCAAGTGCAAAGGCCCTGAGGCAGGAATGAGTTGGGAGGCTCAACTGAGGTGTTAATGATCTGAGAGGTCAGATTGGGGTCAGAGGAAGATCTAGGAGGGGGAGTGAGCTGGGACAGCCCGCAGACCCAGAAGTCTTAGAATCCCTTGGGAGTCTAGGGGAGGCAGGATGATCCCCTCCCCAGTCAACCTCTATGTCTGCCCATTGAACTTTAACAGCAACGATAATAGTAATAAGCAGGTAATAATTACCAGCTGCAATTCCTGCCTCATAGATCCAGGCCTGGGACTGCGGGGGAACTTTAGGGGCTGAGAGGGAAACCGGACCATGGAACCCTCAGCAGTCTTTGGCAGAACCCATGTTAGACTGTGGGTGGCTGAGGAAAGCGGCTGCCCAGGCACCTGGGCGTCTAGGTTCTCCGGAGCGGACCCTGTCAGGGGTTCTGTTGACTCCTAGTGTGCCCTCAGGCAGCTCAGAACGCTCGTTGAGCCTCAGTTTCCAAGTCAGTAAAGGCAGGAAGTCGGCTTCTGCGCTCCAAACCCCACCCAGTGAAAAGGATCAGGATCGAAGCGCTTCCAGGAACTTCTACAGACTCTCTCTTGTCTCATTTTCTTGGGACAAACACACCAGTAAAGGCAGCTTGTCCCCGACGAGCCTCTCGCATAGCCTGCACGCAAAGTCAGACCGGAACGCACGCAAATGGAGGCATCGTCGACGTAGTGTCGCGGGAGGCGCCCGCGAGTTATTTATCCACCCGGGGCCCCATTTCCCACCCCCCCTAAAGTCCCCCAGGGTTGAGTACCACCCCCGCCTTCGCCCCCGCCGGCCGGGGCCCAACGCGCAAAGGGGGCGGGGCCTCCCAGCATGAGGGCCGGGCCGGACACATCACACCACCCCGGACGTCCCTTGGCGAGAGGCGGTGCTGGGGGCCTCGGCCGTAAATAGCGCTCCGGGGGCTGGCTAACCGGGCCTGGGGCGCGGCCCGCCCCCATGACGTCAACCCAGAAGGCAACGCGTTGTTGTGCAGTTTACCGCGCGTCTCCGGGGCAACAGCGACGGGGTCGGTAGCGGTGGCCATGCCCCGCCCCCATGCAAATGAGCGACGTCACCCGTGCCCAATGGCGAGCGGGGGCGGTGAGCTCATCGCGCCAGGCCGAGGCTATAAGAAGGTGACGCGGGCGGAGCGGCGGCAATAGCCGCCGCTAGCGGAGTGCCGGGCGTAGCGGTACGGCCGGGGCGGGCAGAGGCGCCTTAGGACGGGGGGGGGCGCAGGCCCCCCAGCGGCCGCGGCCACTCCCCTCCCCCGGGGCCGGCGCGGGGGAGGCGGAGGATGGAAACACCCTTCTATAGCGATGAGGCGCTGAGCGGCCTGGGCGGCGGCGCCAGCGGCACCGGCGGCGGTGGCTTCGCGTCCCCGGGCCGCCTATTTCCCGGGGCGCCCCCGACGACGGCGGCAGCGGCCGGCAGCATGCTGAAGAAGGACGCGCTGACACTAAGCCTGAGCGAGCAGGTGGCGGCAGCGCTCAAGCCCGCGGCTGCGCCGCCCCCAGCCCCCCTACGCGCCGACGGCGCCCCGGGCGCGGCGCCCCCCGAAGGCCTATTGGCCTCGCCGGACCTGGGGCTACTCAAGCTGGCCTCGCCCGAGCTCGAGCGCCTCATTATCCAGTCCAACGGGTTGGTTACCACCACGCCAACTAGCACGCAGTTCCTCTACCCCAAGGTGGCGGCCAGCGAGGAGCAGGAGTTCGCCGAAGGCTTCGTCAAGGCGTTGGAGGACCTGCACAAGCAGAACCAGCTGGGCGCCGGCGCCGCGGTGGCTGCTGCCGCCGCCGGGGGGCCCTCGGGGGCGGCCGCGGCCTCTGCACCCCCAGGCGAGCTAGCTCCAGCGGCGCCCGCGCCTGAGGCGCCCGTCTACGCGAACCTGAGCAGCTACGCGGGCGGTGCGGGTGCGGCTGGGGGCGCCGCCACGGTGGCCTTCGCCGCCGAGCCCGTGCCCTTCCCACCACCGCCTCCGGGCGCGTTGGGTCCGCCACCGCGCCTTGCCGCACTCAAGGACGAGCCGCAGACGGTGCCCGACGTGCCAAGTTTTGGCGAGAGCCCGCCGCTGTCGCCCATCGACATGGACACGCAGGAGCGCATCAAGGCGGAACGCAAGCGGCTGCGCAACCGCATTGCCGCCTCCAAGTGCCGTAAGCGCAAGCTGGAGCGCATCTCGCGCCTCGAGGAGAAGGTGAAGACCCTCAAGAGCCAGAACACGGAGCTGGCGTCTACGGCCAACCTTTTGCGCGAGCAGGTGGCGCAGCTCAAGCAGAAGGTCCTCAGCCACGTCAACAGCGGCTGCCAGCTGCTGTCCCAGCACCAGGTGCCCGCGTACTGAGCCCGCGCGGGGCGCATGCGCGGCCCTCACCCCGAGGGGCGGGCTCGGGTGGGGGGGCGTGGGCGCCCCGAACTCAGAGTGGGCGCGGCCCTTACGAGCCCCCGAAGGTGCACGGGACTTGGAGGGGGCACCCAGGACTTGGGGAGGGTACAATCCCCGGGACTTCCCGAAAGTGCCCAGGACTTGGAGAGGGCGCCCCGGACTCGACAAGCTGGACCCCCTGCTCCCGGGGGGGCGAGCGCATGAACCCTTGTCCTCGTGCTGCCTCTGTTCCTCGCGAGTGGCCGACCCGTGTTGCACAAATCCACGTGTTCTGGCTGCCTCTTTGTATACCGCCGCGGACGGGGACTTCACCGGGGCGCAGCCCTCAGCCTACCTTTCCTTTTCTTTTTCTTTTTTGCCTTTGGAAGAGAGAAAAACAGAGTGTTCGATTCTGCCCTATTTATGTTTCTACTTGGGAACAAACGTTGGTTGTGTGCGTGTGTGTTTTCTTGTGTTGGTTTTTTAAAGAAATGGGAAAAAAAAAAAACAAGTCCCCACCCTCTCTTCTCGCTCCTTTCATCCTCTCCACACCCTCCCCTGTTTTCTTTTCTTTTTTTTTTTTTTTTGCTACGAGTCCACATTCCTGTATGTAATCCTTGGTTCGCCCGGTTTTCTGTTTTCAGTAAAGTCTCCTTACGCCAGCTCTGCTCTCCGCCTCCTTCTTTCCCCGCTGGGGCCTGACAGGCGGGGCCTGGCCCGCACCCTTGGCCTCCCCTCCCCCGGCCTGCCTTACCCCTCTCCCGGTCTCTGCGCCTCCCTTTTGGGGGTGGGGAGAGAGCACATCTGGCGTGCTTCGAGCGCCATCTATGTGCTCCTCGGAATGGGCCTGGTTGATGTCAGTCGCATGGGTAGGGGGTTCCTTGGGGGTTTTTAGTATTTGAAACTAGAGAGCACCCAGGTCTCCCCTTTTCCTTTTGGGAATTAGGAACTAAGTCATGAGAGGGGACTGTGACAGTTTGAGGCATAAAGTTTTGCAACTTCAGGTCTATTCCTCTATCTCATAAATGGGTGCAAGGATAGGAAACTGAGGGAGTTCATATTTACAAAAAGGAACCCTGGGGTTGGGGTTACAGTGGCTAATTACTTGTTTGCTAACCAAAAGGTTAGTGGTTTGAAACCACCAGCAGCTCCACTGGGAGGATGAGGTAGTCCGTTTCTGTGAAGAAGGGCCATTCTGCTCTGTCCTCCGGAGTTCCTATGAGTTGAAATTGACTTGAGAATGGGTTGTCTATAGAATTGGACTTTGCATACAATGGGTGCTCAGTAAATGTTAGTTTATTGTTTTGGGAGTGGGGAACCGACTCAAGTGGATTGTCCAGAATGAGGAGGGAGGTGGCCCAGGCAGTCAGGCACGAAGTAGGAGCCCCGGATTTTATTTACAAGTATCCCCGGAGCCCCACACCTCCCTGCCCCATTTTGAGGAAGCTAAGGTTCAGAGAGGTTAAGCAACTAGTGTGAGGTCACACAGTTTTCAGTGGATTGTGCAAGGCCATTTGATCCCTGGGCTTCTCACTTCCAAAAGCCTTGACTGCTAAGTTCCCTGCTCTTCCTTACCTATTTTAGCTTTTGCTGGTTTGGGAGTGAAGGACCCCAAGCCTTAGCTCTGACTCAACCTGGATCCCAGAAAAATTTGGCCCATCTTACAGAAAGGCAAACTGTGCCTAGCTCTGCTTGAGAAGGCAGGTAAATTCCGCAGATGAGGAAGCTTAACCTGATATGCCCATAGTGTTTTCAGCCCCCTCTGGTTGCTCTTCCTGGCTGCTCAGTCCTGGAGGTTTCAAGAGCTGTTGTGGGGTTTGCTTTTAATCCCTGGACCATGATGGATGCCAGGACGGGCTGAGACCAGTGAAGTGTGTGTTGACACAGAGAAAAATGAGAACCAAGTTTCGGGGTAGAATTTTGTGTCCAGAGACTTGAGTGCTAACTTGAGTGCCAGTTTGCTGCCTTGGGACTTCAGCCAAGTCGTCATCCCCTTCTGACTTACCTCCTGGGGTGTAGTAAACAGGGTGTAGCAAATGCTTGGGGACGAACCACAACAGTACTAGTAAAGGCCAGCAATGATCCCTGGGCAGCATCTATGGGTGATGTTGCTACCCCTCCTTACAGAGAGGGGGAGCCGAGAAAGCTAGCCAGATTCCCCTCCAGGGATTCTGACCCAGACCTCAAAGGCCTTGGACCACTCAGCACTTCTCACCAACATTTGTTGTCACAATTTGATTCAAGGGGCAGTCTTGCAGGAGATCTAATGGGAGGGACACTTCTGAAACCACAGATCTGACCTCTTTTGAAGCCAAGGAAAAAGTCCTTGATTTCCTCCCTGACTGGCTGAGGTCTTGTCTACTTTCAGGCCATAAACTTTTGCCAGAGACAAACCATTCTCTATCTTGGAGCTCCACCCCTAAGCCTCAGCTAAGCTTGACCTCCACTAAGGCCCCTCCCTGACTGCCCTGGGCTTTGAGGGGGACAGTATTTTTTGAGGACCCCCACAGAGCCCTGTGCCCTCTGTATTTCCCAGAACTGAGGTTTGGGTCTGTCTCCCTGAGCATATGAACAAGGTCTATCTGGCCAGTGCTGAGACAGAACCAAGGACGAAGTCCTGTCCAACTTCCAAGTCCTTAGATGGGAAATCTAGGAGGGACAGGATTGACCCCAGGCCACACCCCTGTGGGTGGGGAGCTGGAGCCCCTTGGGAGTATAGAAGATTGGGGGTGGTCTATGCAGATTGGGGCCTCCCCTGCTGGCTTCCTACTCTAAATTGAGTCTTGTCCTACCCCAACCCCCACCTTTAGTGACACACCGCCCCCCTCCCCCCCCAGGAAGCTTTTGGCCAGACCTTGCTGAGTTGAGGCCAAGGTGTGTGTCAGCCCCAGTCCAGCCAGCAGTGACTCACTCCAGGCCCAGGCCCAGCCCTGGGAGGTGACCTAGGACAAGTGGCCTGGCTTTCCCTCCAGGACTGGGGCTCAGGGTCCTGCCTACTTGCTCTGGCAAGCCCCTATTCTCAGGGCTGGGCACAGACACCCAACCCCGCTTTTTAGGACGTAAATCAGAACTCATTCCTCCCTTGCTCTAAACCCTCCCCCTGACTTTCCAGAACCCTCTCAGTAAAACACAAATTCCTCAAGTCCTTCCCTAGACCAAAGGCCCTCCCTGCCCTCCTCTTCCTTGCTCCAGCCACACCTCCTCCTGTTGGTTCTGTAATCATGCTCAACTGTCTTCAGGGCCTTAACCTGGGCTGTGCCCTCCACCCCAATGCCCTCCCCCAGCCATGTAGGATCCCAGCGCCAACGTCCTTCTGCCCTTCTTCAGGGAGGGATCCCAGGAATTACCTCAGTGGTTTGTGCTCCCAGACCTAGACCTTAGCAAATACCTGAGAGATGAAAGACTAAAGCCACCCAAGTCCCCTCTGTAAACAGAACCCTCATTTATTGCTTAGGATGTGCAGACCATAGGTACCACCACCCCACCCCCACCATCCTCAGCCCTGCCCCCTACCCCAGTCCCTCATTCTAGAACCCCTCCCCCACAGGAGCCAATCAAGTAGGCGGGGGATTGGCTGGAATTTGGATGTGAGTCACAAAGCCATAGTGACACAAGGGCTCCAAGGCCGGTCATTCGGGCTGGTGGGTTCAGCGTTGGGGGCCGGTGAGTGGGGTACATGGGGAACCAGGGCAAGGGTCCTGGGTGGGTCTATCTTATCCCTCTGGTCCCCAGAGTCCTCTTGAGCTCTCCTGGCCTCTCTGAGCAGTGGGTCGGCTCCCTGCCCCTCAGAGCCTGGGAGCTGGGGTCCCCCACCTAGGGGTGGGGGGCGTTTGCAAGATTATGTGGCATCTTCTTGGCAGCCTGGGGACAGTGATCTTAGTTCATTTGATGATGAGGAAATTGAGGCTCGGAGGGCCTTGAAACCATGGTATCAGTCGTGTGTCCAGGGGACCCCTCTTCCTCCTTCCCCTCCCCTGCGAACCCTTTCCACTTGATCTCATTCTAGTCAACTGTGTCAACAGGGTCTCACTGTGTGGTTGCTGAAAACCCCAGACGCTGTGGACTGAGATCAAATCCTGAAGCTTCTCTTTCCAGGTTATATGAGGGGCCTTCAAAAAGTTCATGGAAAAATGGAATCAAAAGATAATGAAATTTTCCACCAACGTTTTGAAGCCCCCTCTAATAGCTTGGACTACATTCCTACATCAACATTTATTGAGCGTCTACTGCTGTTGTTCGTTGCCAACCCGTGGGCCATGTATGCAGAGTAAAACTTTCACAGGGTTTTCAAGGTGGTCACCTTTGGGAAGCAGATCCTCAGGTCTTTCTTCCAAGGCATCTCTGGGTGAATTCGAGAGGACAGGCTTTTGGCTAATAGTCAAGTACTTAAGGGGGCTACCCAGGGACTCATACAAGTACATTGTTCTAGGAGCTGATGATTTAAGTTTCCCCTTTTAGGCTGCTCATAATCTAATGGGGGAGGCAAAGAAAAAACCACATGAAGAGAGAAGACACACAGTTTGCTGGCTTCTCTGGACCTCTGTTTTTTTCATCTGTGAGATGGGCACAATGACAGTTCCCATCTTCAGGGTATGGGAAGGAGTTGAACAATATCAGTGTGGAGTGGTTCAGTCCTTAGGATTCAAACTGCATTGATTTGTGTTCTGGGTGGACCCAGACTGCCTTGGAGCTGGGATGAAGAGCAGCCATGGACAGAACATACAGAGCTTCTCCTGGAAGAAGAGAGGTTACTCACTATGAAAAGGGAGTCTGGGAATGTACTGTTTAGTTTGGGGTCCTCTCAAGGTGAGGCCTAAAGGCAATGTAGGTTTCTAGGTTTGCCCTGGGGAAGGCAGGGAAGTGAAGCTGGCAGTCAAATTTGCATTTAGGAAGGACTTGAGGTAGAACCAGGCACCTCCTGTGGAGGTTAGAAAGGAGACTGGGTGGCAGGAGCCATATGAGGAGGAATATGGTCCCAC